GTCTATGCTTGCTATTTCCGTCGATTTATGTTTTGTAGAACAAAAAGAAAGTAAAACAGTCATCAGTCCTTTGAAAAAAAGAAGAAATAAAATAATCTTTAAACAATGTAGAAAAGGAAATAGATATATAATATATAAATACATATTTCTTTTATTTTGCCTCAGACCGGCAAATTAAAATTCTATCCACAAGCCGGATTGAACCTTCCGGCAGGCCGTAGTTTGTCCATCCCTGATAATGACTATTCATAAACTGAAGAGTGATAAGAATTACAAGTTTCTTATAACTCGGTTTGATTTTAACACAATAGGGTAGTTGCAGAAACCTTCCTATAGCACACACAGTTTCATTCTAGCACGCTAATGGATATGCTAAAAGTTCTAATAGCACGGATATACGCTGCGCAAAAAAAGGGGGGGGGACAATTCTATATTTCTGGTTCTACTTGGTCGATTATTGAAATTCAACTTTCATGTCTTGAAAGTGTGACAGGATATGTATTAGATTTATATATAGCATTGTTCTAATGTAGGTATTTTGATGCAAAATCAGGCTTTTTTTTTTAAATGACATGCCAATTTTCCCACATATTTCGGTTCTACAACTCAAATTATGTGAAACTGCAAAGTTTTGTAAAAATCGCACAAGTAAAAATTAATTTAATTAAATTTTAAAATTTTGAGAGCTCTCAAAATATTAGCTCCTTAATGTTGAGTTTGGTATATATTTATAAATATCTCTTTTTTTATTAAATTTATTTAATTTTTCCTTTCACATTTCGAAATTCAGTTCCTTTCCAAATAAAACTCACACCATTTTTTATGATTTATTGTTAAAATTTGTATTTTTAAATAATTTTTATAAATTTTCCAAAAACAAATTGAATAATTATCTATAAAATTTTTACCATCATCTTAAAGTAGATGTTCTAAGCACACCTGCAAAAAATTAGATTTTTTTATTAAAAATTTCTGCAGATATACTCGAAATTATATATTGGCGTGTTTTGAGATTTGGCGTATTTGTTGAAAGCAATAATAACATCAAATGTAGTTTAGGCAAATTGTTAAAATTTGTTAAAATTATATTTGAAAGTAGGAACGAGATGACTTTTTTCCCGCTCATCCACGATGTAAAAAGGTAGGAACGATGTGGCGTTTTTTCTGCTCCTGCACAATGGAAGGGAGAGGAAAATAGGTTGCCATATATTAAGAAGTTATCCAAGTGAATAATTCTTGGCGTAAACTAAAGAAAATGCGCCAAGTTAAATTTTTGAATTTCTCCTTAAATTTCGCACCAGATTTTACAAAATTTAATATTTATTCATAAATTGGGTCGTAGAATTGAAATATGGAAAAAAAGGTATGTCATTTCAGAAAAGTCCCATTTTGTGTCAAAATGTCTATATTAAAGCAATGCTATATATGAATCTAACATACATCCTAAGTTATGCTTTTGATACATGGAAAACGCAATTTGAATTTTGTCAATCGGCCCGGTAGAACAGGAGATATAGAACTGTCCCTCTTCTCCCACAGTGTACATATTTTGATAACACGGTTTTTATTCTAAATAAACAAAATTAAATTACTATGCCACCTTGTGACAAATTTACTGAATTGTAAACCGAGTGTTACGAGTTATCCCTGAAATTCGGGACTTCTTCAAAATGTCATGTAAATGGTATTTTCTAGATTATAATTAAAAAACAACTTTCTTACTTTGATTACTTTTTTTCCAATATACTTCATACTTGAAATGGAATTCATTAAAAGCTGGGGCTGAAATTTTCATGTGAAATACACTGCTCGACATTGAAAAAACACCAAGAAGGAGTGGTCAGAAAGTGATGAAATTTGGAAAAAAGACAGAGACAGCAAGCAGCAATAAGTGATTTTTATTTCAAAATGATAGTCAGAATACAGAGCGAGAACGGCATCGGCTCAGTAGGATGTAGGACCACCGCAGACAGCGATGCACGAAGAAACACGTCTAGGCTTAGAGTCAATAAGACTGCGGATGGTGTCCTCAGGGATGGCTCTCCATTTCCTTTCAACCATTTGCCACAGTTCGTCTTCTGAATGAGGCAGGGGCAGAGTCTGCAAACGTCATCCAATCATCCCACATATGTTCGATTGGTGACAGGTCAGGAGAGTACGGTGGCCAGGGAAGCATCTGTATACCTTGCAGAGCATGTTGGCAGATGCGAGCACTGTGTGGTCAGGCATTATCCTGCTGAAAAATTGCATTAGGCAGCCCCTTAAGGTAGGGGATTGTTACCGGCCGCAGTACATTATCCAAGTATCGTTGGGCTGTCATAGTGCCCTGGACTAGAAGTGTCCTGGAATCGTAGGCAATAGCCCCCCAAACCATTATGCCACGAAGTCGTGCGGTGGGCATTCCATAGTTACTTCCGGATTAGATCTGTCTCCGCGGCGACTGTCACTGGATAAACAGAAGCGTAACTCATCTGAGAACACGACGTTTCGCCATTCTGTCATCCACATCGCTCCAGTCCGGCACCATTCTAAACGTTTGCGTCTATGCTGTGGGGTCATTGGCAGTCTTCTTAACGGACGACGTGAGTGCAGGCTGCGTTCAACCAATCGACGTGAAAGGGTTCTGGTTGACACAAACACCCAGGGTATCTTGCCCATGCTGCAGAATCGCGATACAAGTGACTTGCGGGACCACCACAGCTTGTCGGCGGATTCGTTGATCCACGCATGCTGACGTCACTTTGACTGCACCTGCACCTCTCCTTCTTCCCACATTTCCTAGTTCCAACCATGTTCACCATAGCCGATGCACCGTACTCGCATCCATGTGGGTATCAGCTGCGATTTGACGCAAGGACCAACCCGACCGTCTCATTCCGATCACCATACCACTTGTAAAGTCGTTTATCTGCTGGTAGTGACTTTGTTGAAGGCGGCCTGGCATTCTCTCCAATTACAAGTATCCTCCGGGACAAAAACCAACTTTCTTTGATAATTCGTCTGACAGAAATAATGACACGAATATTGCCCATTCTGCACCTTTCTTCCCTTATAACTTACTTCACGTGCGTCGGAGAGCTGCGCATTTCACATCATTTGCATAACTCAGTGACGTGTGATACTCTAAAATTTGCATAAATTTCTGATCGCTCCTTCTTGGTGTTGCATTTTCAATGTTGAGCAGTGTAAATACGAAATTCACCTTTCTGTATTTAATTTTCCATCCATAATGCTGAAGCGGTTAAGTTACTATGGCATGCTTGTGAATAACAACCTTTTTATTTACACATACACAGATAAATGAAAAGAAAATTCCTGGAATATCCACTTTCTCTCTCATGGAAATTCTTTTGAAATTGAGTCGTGCATATCATTTATGCAGTACGTGTCTTGTGCTCTGAAGGCCTGTTCGGAATGGGGTTTATCTGAGCTGACGAAGTCTTTTCTATGTGTTGACTAGCTCTGCTATGCAGGCAGTTCAGAATTTTCAACTCGCTGATCTATGGGGAGTAGTTTTGGAGATAGGTCAGCTATGTCAGTAGTCTCTGTTAGTTCAGATAAACCCCAGTCTAAACGGCTTAAGTGTTCAGTTGGTAGATTGCCTAAATTACATAACTGTGAATTTGGAAGAAACGGTTAAAAAAAATCTGTGTGTTAATAATTAGCTTTGTTGTGCTTAGGAGTACTTATTGCAAAATTGTATTTCAGTCCCAAGCTATGTCTGAAATAAGAAAACTTTTGAAAGGAAATTTATTTCTGTGGAGATGAAAATACAAATTTTGAATCATTTGCTGAAAGAAAAAAATGTCTGATGTTGCGGTTAGGATAATTGAAATGAAATCTTATTGCCATCCTAATTCTTTTATTGATAATGAAAAAAAGTTGTTATATTACATTAAATTTAAATCATGACATCGTACGTATTAAGTGGAAGTGTCAAAAGTTTCTGTTTCCTGTTACAACCAAAAATCATTTATGAATTGATTGTTGCTTGGAAAGACTGAACTAAATTCATTCATATTAAAATGTTGTTATACATTTTCTTTTCAAGTATACACAGAACTTATAAATTTGGCTTAGGTCATAGCCCGCTCATCTGGCGAGTTTGCCCGCTAGTCTATAAGAAGATATGTCTCGTATCACTACTAATATGGTAATCTCAGAAAACAGTAATGAGTTTTTACTTGTCCTCCTATCAATTATGGCAAAAGAATACAAGTTAATTGTCTAAGCTTCATGGGAATTTTGATTCAGAGCATGCTGGAAGGTGGAATCTAAGGAATGTCATGCTCTTCTTCCCCTATCACCAACTTCTGAAAGATATTTTTTAGATCACTGAATTTTAACTGCTTCTGTTCTACAAGGATACTACAGTTACAAACATCTGTGTCTTTCTGATAGTGAAATCTGATGCAGCCCATTGGCATGACAGCCAGCCTCCATTAACTATCATGTTAACTACAGAAGCATTTAATTTATTGACATAATACTATATTTATAGAATGAGTGAGTATTTATCGAAGTAGGAAACAGGAAAAATCAGTGATCTATTCTCAAGGATTTGAACTGTGGAAATTCCGATTGCTAGTCAGACAGATATGCAGTGTGAAAGGAGAAAATTCCTTATATCCTCTTTGTGATGGCAAGCCCTTATTACCGGCCCAAATTAACACTCTCCCACTTACACGGCAGCTAGGGAGATGATATCCAATTGCCAAGTCTAGTTGATGAAGTATTGTCCACTTTATCTTAGGTGCCACAGTGGAATGATTAAGTATTTATAGAAACAGAAAAAATCAGCTGTGCTTTCAATTGCATTGCAAAAGCCATGCATTAAGAAAGGAGGAAATTCCTTATATGTTTGCTGTTATTATGTTAACAAGCATATCTAAATATGTGTCTCATAAATTTGTTTGAAAAATGTAGAAAGTTTGTAATTTAACCTTTGGTTCAGTTCACATGTTTTAATGAGAATAAAAATCTTAAATTTCTTCTTCTAGGATGGATGCAACTTTGAAGGAATTGACTGGTTTAGTGAAAGAAGTCAATCCTGATGCCAGGAGAAAAGGAACTTACTTTGACTTTGCTCTGGTATTCCCAGATGTTAGAGGACCTGGCTATAGAATGAGAGATATTGGTACTACATGCTCTGGGGAAAAGGGGGTGGATGATAATAAAACTCTGGCAGCTTGCCGTTTCAAAATTGGTGATTACTTAGACATAGCTATAACACCTCCATCATCTAGAGGGCCTACTTCTTCAAGAAGAGGAAGACAAAATTATTAACAATTTGTCTGATTTTCACTTTTGTAAAGAATTTGAAAATATTATGTTATGAATAAATTTGTATATTTATGTTTGTAATTTGTAGAATGGTTATTACATTAAATTTTGGCCTTACTTTGTTTAGGGCATTGTTTATTATCTGATACAAATGAAATATTTTCTTGAAATAATAAGGAGAAATTCTATAATATTATTTGTTTTCTTATCGAGATTTGAAAGTAGCAGAAGACAGATTTTAAATGTGCAATAACAAATATAACACATTCATTAATCATTCTATTCAAAATCACCCTATGTGATTCTTTTAAATTAATATAGAATCTTTACTTTTTATTATAACATGCAATGCATAAGATTGGTTTCCCCCTTCAACTTTAGGTACATAATGTATCTTTAGAAAATGGAAAACTATGATAAGAATATGTTATGATACCATACTTAAGAAACTGCTATACTTAAATCATTAGCAACTATGTTTTTAACACAGTAGGGCTAATTTTTTGAAATGTGTACTGGTTTTGTATGCTGTAGAATAATTCCATTTAGCCAATACTAAGAAGTGCATTTTTATACACATCTATCTGTCTATAAAATATTTAGTTTAAAACATCTGTGGTGATATTTTTTGTAAACAAGAGAAAATTAAAATGGTTCTCATGGAAATCATCTATTCATTGCCAAACATGCATCATCTTTAAATCTTTTAAACTAATATGGTGTTTATTAAATAATCTTGTTAAGATAATTTGATATTTCTCAAGAGTAGCAAGATTATTAATAAAGATCTGCCTTCGAAAAAGATTTTCATTGTGATTTTTAAATACCAATACTGTAGTTAATTTTGTTTCTCAAAAGACTTTTATGTAAAAATAAGTGATCAATTAATTTCTTTAGAAAAAAGAGGGGAACTAATTTACTTGTTTGAAAAATTTAATTTCATACAATACAGAAAAATGTCCGTATGATCTAAACACAAAGGTGGAAATTTTCTTACCATGTATATATATTCATCTCCCAAAAGTTGGTATATATCAAAGCAATAATAAGTTTCATGCAATTATATGCATAGTTGCTAAACTCTCTTTGTTTTTTGTCCCTGCAGATCACTGAATCTCCTGTTTTTTAGTTTTTAATCTCACTAAGAAAAATGTTTCTCAGCAATAAGTAAAATTTATCGAATTATTAAAACAAAGTGTGATTATTCTATATCTCCTATTCGTAGTGATTTTAGTATAATTTTTCAGTCTGAATTCTCTTAATCTACTGTAGCCCTTTATGAAACTTTTTACAAAAACTCAACCAGCATTTAATCAGTTAATATTTGTATTTAATATTTTTTACATTGCATTAATAAGTTTATACATGCAGTAGTATGTACATTAATTATTAATTTTATGTCCAACATTTTCAGTCGTATACAGTAAAAATAATATTTTAGCTAGTTTCCAATTTTGAAAACAGAATAAAAGTTTAATTCTTATCAATGTGTAATCGAATCAAAAGATATAAGAACTTAGCCAGAGAGTGTACTCAGTAATTAAAGAATTAGTTCAGTTCATAAATGTCTGATTACGGTAATTACAGAATAAGTTCTATTAATTAATGTCTGAATTTTTATATGATAAATTGAAACTTCCGATAGACCAAAAAAAAAATCATCAGCTTCCGAATGGGAGAAGTGTTACTGGTTTGTGTATGCATGAAAGGAAGGAAACTGTGTATTGCTAGTTTTACAAATAGTAAGTCACTTTGTGGTTGTGTTGTGTGAGACATAAGGACAGATATTGGAAAGAACTTTCTAAGCTTCTTTCTATTCATGAACTGTCTCGAAATCACATAAATCATAAATGCTAACTGAAAGAATTTTGAGAGTTCAAAACTTATTAGATCAAGTAATATAACATCAAATTGAAAACTTCTATCTAGAACTAGTTTGAGAGAGGTTGTTTTCTATCATTGTATCTAGGAAAAGGGGGTCTTCCTTCAAGAAGCTGTCAAAAAACTAGAAAATGCACTCAATTGGAACTTAAAAATAACACAAGGTTCGATTAATGGCCAAATATGATGCTTGTTAAGTAAACTTGTTCAACGATTAGTGAAACCTTGATAACTGGTTACATACTTTAGCAAGGATATTCAAAGTGAAGTATTTATAATTGTTATGAAAACAGTGTTAGACACAAATGTTATTTACCAGTCTAGACAGCACATCAGACACAAGTCACAAAGAACAGCTGAGTATGAAGAAGTGATAGATGTATGTTTCAGATCAGTTACCATTTAAGAATATTTTATCCAATTTTATGGAATTGAAAATATGAACATACTGGGAAAAGTTTCACTGAATTATTGCTCTATACATCATCTAACTTTGGGATATCTCGTGCACATTGCCATGGACGGTCAACACACCCTAGATAGATAAGGATTTAAGTGTAGGGGTTGTCGGGATAATGGAAACAACACAAAAAGGTAAAATGTAGCACACAAGCGTGTATTTTTTCAAGAAACCCCTGATAGTTCATTACGTGATTATTCAGTCAAGACATCAATTCAGTTGTTAGCAATGCAGATAAATCTTCAACTGTTACACTATTTTTTTAATGTGGTTTAAAGATTACTATTTAATTTTCTGCAGCTATGAACTTATTTGTGAAGAATTTGCAAAAAAAAAAAAATTAGGGTATGAATAGCAGTTATAAAAAATTGCAAATGCTTTTAAGAACCCCAGACAAAATTCATGAGGCAAAAGTACGAGGGCATTTCGAAAAGTAAAGATACAATGGCTCGCATTCCTTAAAAAAACATTTTATTTAGAAAACGTCAGTTACATCTTATTAACTGGATTATTTATTATTTTTCGACATAATCACCCCCATTATCCAAACATTTGTTATGTCGGTGCACAAGCTTTTGTATCCCACAGTCATAGAAGGTTGCCGCCTGTTGGAACCCAGCGCGCACACAATTTCCTGTACCCTAACTTGACAGTCACAACTTCAAAGAGTTGTCATTGACACTTCCGGTATGATCTGATGCAATTCATTCAATTTGAGACGTCTATTCGCACGAATTGCTTCCTCTGTTCTCTGAAGAAGGGCATCAGAGATCACAGATGGCCGACCTGTTCTTTATTCGTCATGAACATCGGTCCTACCTTCAGAGAAATGACAACACCATTTCGTTACATTTTGTCAATTCATAATGTTCCCATAAACAGAAACAATTTCTTTGTGAATATCCGCTGGTCACTGACTTTTTGCATGAAGAAAACGTATGACGGAGCGCACTTCGCATTTGGCGGGATTCTGAATCGGCGCAGCCATTTTAAACACGACCTACTCCAACCAGAATCAATGTTGAAATGCCGAACGACCGCGAGGAGAAAGCCAACGGTTCAAGGTTAACACCTGTGTTGCCAACTTGCTCACCAAAACTTTTTTTTTTCTCTGGCGTACGGTGTATCTTTACTTTTCGAAATGCCCTTTTATACCAAGTACCCTCACATTATAACAAATTACTGACAGTTGTGTAAGAGTAGTATATCTACAAAAAATTCGGAAGACATTTCCTCAGTGTGTCAATCGCAGTGAGAATTTTTTTTTTTTTTTTTTTTTTTTTTTTTTTTTTTTTTTTTTGTGTGTGTGCACTAGTATTTGTACCTTCAGCGGAAATCAACCTTTCAGAGCTAATATAAAGTACGATGTTTAATAAATGAAGGACGTTTTAGAGGGCTTTCTATTATAATAAATGAAACACATCTCACATTTATTTGCATTAACAAGTCAGTTACGGCTTTTGATAATCAAAAAGCAAGGCCTATAAACATTAAAGTGACTAATGTAGAAAAAAGAAATACAAAAGGGAAAGAAATTAGAAAAGAAAATACTGGCTGTTCGTAAAAGAATGTCCGAGTTTTAATGGTATATTACAGGAGTTTATTTTATACTAAATATAACAAATCATACATGAAATTGAAGGAAAACTAACCTAGTTTTTCCTATAAGTGCTCAATGTGTGCGCCTTTAGTGATACGGCACACATCCAAACGAAAATGCAATTCTTCCCATACTGTCTGCAGCAAGTCCGGAGTAATGGAAGCAACAGCCTGTGCAATTCTACCTTTCAAGGTTGGTAAATCGTGGGGTAGGGGTGGAACGTAGACCCGATCTTTTACGAAGCCCCAAAGGAAGAAATCACAAGGCGTGATGTCAGGTGAACGAGGCGGCCAGGGTAACAGAACTCTGTCGTCTGGACCGTGACGCCCAATCCAACGGTCAGGGACTTCGACGTTTAACCAATCTCGCACAAAGAGACTCCAATGACGACGGGCTCCATCTTGTTGCCAAATAAATTTTGCAGGTTCACTTTCTACTAATTGGGGAAAGAGCCATTGTTGTAGCATATCCAGATAAGAAACCCCTGTTACTGTAGCTTCAGCGAAAAAAAAAATGGTCTGTACACTTGTCGTCGTGAAACAGCACAGAAAACGTTTATTTTTGGAGAATCTCTTTCGTGTTGTACAAGTTGATGAGGATTTTCTGAACCCTATATACGAACATTATGGGTACCTTCCCACTTGTATGAAACGTCGACTCATCACTGAACACCACATGATGCAGAAAGTCATTGTGCTACGGCACAACACCATTTCAGAAGAACTTCACATGCAAAACGAAATCATACTGCACAATCATTTGGCTTTAATTGCTGTACCAACTGTAATCGGTATGGACGTAAGTGTAAATTTTTTTTAAAAAAAATCGTCCAGACTGTCGTCTTTGGCAACTGTAGTTCATGACTTGCTTTCCGAACAGATTTCTGCGGACTACCACGGAAAGATTCTTCGACACGTTCCACATTCTCTACAGAAACTGGGTCTTCCCGGGCTTTTACCTTTACAAAGACATTCGGTCGTTTCGAATTGTTGATACCATCGGCGGATATTTCTGTCACATGGGGGATCACATTTAAACTTTAATCGGAACGCACGTTGAACGGCAATTACCGAATCACTCTTAGCAAATTGTAGAACACAAAACGCTTTACGCCCAGAAGTCGCCATTTTGAATAGATGA